CTGCTTTCAACGGAAATGATACAGCAAAAGAGCAAAGCAGCAGCAGCAGCAGCAGCAGCAGCCGGCACACGCCAGGCACTGCCTGGCCAAAAAGCTGAAATGAAAACTAAAACTCATTTCTGCCAAATTAAACAGAAATGTGCCCCAGCTACAAATATGAGTTAAAAGCGAAACGCTCGGGCACATGTGTGCGTGGAGTGTGGAGCTCGCAGCGTTCGCATCTCAAATGTAAAATTAAAAGGCATTTCCGCAAAATGTCAGCGTCATATTGTAAAACATGAGTATTTAATTAGAAAATACTTTCAGGCTGACTCACAGCGACAGCAGGCAGCAGGCGGCCGCCAGGACCTGCACAGTTTCCTCTCAGCAAGCCTCTCTCTCCATCTCTCTCTCTCTCTCTCTCTCTCTCTCTCTCTGGCCCTGTCGATGTGTGTGTGTGGTGCTAATGAATTTCGCCAGTGCACAAGCTTGTGCTGTTTAACAACTTAACATAGTCGCATATGTTGTACAAAATACCTTTTTCCTTAGAGCGCAAAGCGGAAAATGGCGAGCATAGCTGAAGCATGGCTCGGTTGGGCAGGGATGGGGCGGCGAGGCGGGGACATCGCGACGACGCGCAACAGCTGAAAACTTTGCATGTATGCCGCATATTAGCAGCGAACAAGCAAACTAGCGCCAACTACTACAACCTGGAACGAACGAGTGTGGAGTGTGGAGTGTTGGGTGTGGAGTGGGCAGGCGGCACCAAATGTGTTGCCTTAAATTGCCAACAACAACAACAACTGAAAACAACGACTGTGCTAATGGCCACGCATTATTCAAAGTCTCGTTCTCAGATTGTCAGAGGGATAAGCAGTGGGTATGGGAGTGGATGTGGGTGGCTAGCTGGTGCTGGTGGTTAGGTGGTTAGACGATGGGAGTGAGAGCTGGAACTCTGTAGTTGTCCACTGGGCATGTCAAAACTCATTTGCCGTTAACGAGCAGCTATTGTGCTTATAAAAGGATTATTTACAAATCACTGACTTTCAAAAATTGTCGACTGCAGGGCAAATGCCAGCGCTCACCCACCCGCCCAGCGCCCACAGACCGGCACAGCCGCTGGCGAATGCTTTGATCTACAATTTATGAAATTAACCCTTAAGTGGTGCCTGCCGGCAGCTGCTGCTGCTCCTGCTGCTGCTCCTGCTGCTGCTCCTGCTGCCGGCTGCCTCTGCTGCTGTTGATTTCCTGACAGAGACATCAACATTTCAGTGAATGCTTCACTTCAAGTTGATTTCTTTTAGCTGATTACGCGCCAGCACAACGGAAACAGGATGCAGTGCCACTGATTGTTATGAATACACTATGCTACAAGAGTGGGCTATGATTGGGGCTGGGCGTAAATGGACTTGCATTCCATTTGGCTGACATACTCAAAGACCTTAATGCTTTAAGCCGTTTAAACAGCTTGGCTTGGCTGACAATCCAAGTGTGAGACAGCGAGAGTGAGTTAAAGAGGGAAGGGGCAAGGGAGAGGGAGAGAGAGAGAGCGAGGGGGCCAGCTACACTGACTGGCCCTTAATTGATACCTTTGTTTGCATTGCGGTCACTCTAATTGGTGTTTGCATGCGGCTTCAAGACTTGTGTAAATACGGGCTGACCAGACAGACAGACGTTGCTTCTTTGTAATTTTGCGTGCGTTCTGTTTGCTCATTAAACGCTTGCAGCCAACAACCGAAACAACCAAAGCAACAACAACAACAACAACAGCAAGTAGCTGAAGACGAGGAAGAACAAGAAAAGCAATGTCATCAATTAGCAGTTGGCCGTCGTTGGCCTTCGAATGCCAAGTTTGCGCAAAAAATTGACAGGCTTGAGCGAATCTTGTGGCATTGCGGCACCTAATGAGCAAATGTGAAGCAGCTCTCTCATTGAGCCACATATACGCATACATATGACACGCCCACATGCCCAATCGCCCACCCACAACTCCCACTGCTTAGTGGCACTTACAAGCGCATGTCAAAAGTTATTAGCCTCAGCTCAAATAATTTGTGTTGTGCCAAGAAAGCTGATTACTAAATACATAGTACAACGTATAAACAAAGTCATTTTGGCCAGCTCAATGGAACTCCTTGCAATAACAAAATTCGCTGCCAAAAAAAGTTTTTGGCTGCTTCTGCTGCTGCTGCTGTTGCTGCTCCTGCTGCTGCTGCTCCTGCTGCTGCTGCTGTCATTGCCAAATCCTAGCACGAGCAGGCGTTTCATACGTACATATATATAAATAGGTATATGTATGTCTATCTATCTGTATATATATAGAGTTCCTGCTTCGATTTCTTGTCGATATCTCAGCGCTGTTGGCAACATATTCCTGCCTCATAAGTAGACAACTTTTGCAGCTGTCCTGTCAGCTACGTGAGGGCGTTAAACTCATGCATCACTTTAGCCTTTATCCCATCCGCAGCTATACTTAACTAACTGCTATACATGTGAGCATGTATGTGTGTGTGTGTGTGTGTGTGTGTGTCCTGCTCCGTCACAATTTCGCACATTTTTTTTTCTCTCTCTGCTATTTCTTTGGCTGAGTGCGTCTTTGTGGGATGTGTGTCAAGAGTTGCTAAGAGCAGCAACGCGCTGCTGTCGAAGCATTGAAAATAAATTTATAACGTATACGTCATGTGGGCTTCGCGCAGTTTTGCAGTTTATTGCATTTGTCGCTGGCATTGCAGAACTTCAATAAATTATTTTATTGCGACAGTTATTTTGCTTCCCCAGAAGATGTTGTTGAACGAGCTCGCACACCCACACCCACACACACACATATTTATATATATCTTTGTTGCTTTTTGTAGCTATCTGCTGTCATTTCGCATTGGCTTGCTTTGGCAACAAATTGCAAATGACTTTATGAATTTTTTCCTCTGCCACTCGATGACGAACCGACAAGCCGAGAAAAGGCAATACACATTCCATCTATATATATATAAATATTCTATATATATATATACAAGCACTGTATAATAAGCTATGAAATTGATTCTATGCCCCGCATAAACTTGGAATCGCATAATAAATTTGTGCAGAATGCATAATGAACATTACATTTACTCAGCCATATAGAAGTGATGTGTCCATCGCAATGAATACGCATTTAGGATGCTCGAGAGTCTATAATCAAGCACTTAAATCCGGGGCAGGCAGTAAACCCCAGCCAGTGCAGGCCCAGGCCCCAATTTACGTAATGTTCGGCTTTAAGAATCCGTGCAACAACAATGTTAACTGTGCATTGGGCTTCGCTTGTGGCACCCGCCCGGCATAAAATGAAGCACTTGGTTAGCCCATCAAAACTTGACACTTTTCTGGCGTGCTTAATAAAAAAGTCAAACAGTCAAGCGGCAATAGACGACAACCGACAGACGACAACACCTTTGGCGCCTAAAGCGCTTAATGTTAAAATTACCTGGGCAGGGGACACAAAGGAAAAGCAGAAAAAGAAGCAAAAAGGAAAGCAACTGCGAGGCTAGAAATGAAAAAGGCTTTGGCGCGAGACGCCAACAGGCAATAAGTAGCAAAAATTACGCTAAACGCAGCAATTTCCTTGTAAATTGCACAACACACACACACACACCTGCACACGCATACACATGCAGAGTGGGTGCTGTGCCTAGGGATATGGCAGCGGCATAAAATTCAAGCAACTATAAATAAGGCATAAAACACAGAGGCGCAAACATTTTATAATGCGCAGCGTGTCGCAAGCTCAGGAGGTGCTGGTTTGGGCTGGCTGCGGGGGCGTGGCAGACAGGCTGTCAATTTCCTGCAGCAGCAGCAGCAGCAGCCGCGCACGCATATGAGAGGCAGCGTGAGAATTTTAATGCGTGTCATATTTGATTGATGCCAGCTCTAGAGCTCTGGCAACAATGTCAAGAGTTCGGCTGCCAGCGGCCGCCCCCTGCAGGTATGCAATGGGCGCGGCAGCTGTGCGTGGGGCCAATTTCATGTGCTTGGATAAAAATCATTTGCTTGTCACTGCTACTTTCTGTGTGTGTGTGTGTGTGTGTGTGTGTGTGTGTGTGTGTGTGTGTGTGTGTGTGGCTGTTTATTGTGTGCATGTTGCGTAATTTAACGTCGCTTCTTGCTTAACAATTTTATTGGTTTCACTCTGTCTCGCTCCCACTCACTCTCCCTCTCCCTCTCTCCCTCTCCCTCTCACTGAGGCTGAGGAAGTTTGGGCTACGCAATTTACTGCCACTAGGCAACTGCCTGCCAAGCTGTAAATATTTGCACACACACACGCACAGAAGCTGGCCGGGGGTGCTTTTTACAGCTGTGTCGAGACTAACACACACACGCACACACACACACACGTAAGCAAGTGTGTGCCATAATTTATGCCAAGACAAACGACGTGTGTCTGGTGGCAGGAGTTGCAGGGAGCGTAAGTGCATTAGGCGAACGCTTTTAGTGCCCCAAGGGGAACGCCGACTTAATAATTTGCGCGAATTGGCGTCAAGCGGCAAACTAATTTGAGTTAAGCGCATTGTACATACACTCACTCACACACCCACACACACATGTATTGTTTGCTATACGCTCTGGCACACAGCTAAACCATTCATTCAACATATTTAACCACTAACCCCAGCCTGGTCCACTAACCGAGCCTAACAATTATTTAGCATTATTATTAGGCAGCTAGCACTGTCTTAAGCCATGCCCATCGCACCCAGCGCCAACATCAATAACCATCATATTAACCAGCTCATAATAATCGCTAATCGTTAATCGTTAATCGTAGTTCCCGTTATCTGCTTGAGTAACTGCATCAACCCAACTCGAGCTGCACCAATTTGCATTTTATACTGTATATATCGACATGATAATGCAGATCATGTTTAGCTGCCACACCCACCTCCACTGTCCAACGCCCACTAGTCCACTCGTCCAATCGTCCACGAACCATGTTGGCCACGTTTATGTAACTTTCATTTTGGTGCTGTTTTGCTGTTTGCTTGCAGGATGGACAACGCGGCCATTTAGAGGGTCTTGCATCCGTCTATTGTGAATTGTTAATGGCTCCCTTTGGGGATATTTTAAGTGCTTTAGAAAATGCTAGACAAGCAGCATGGGCGGAGCGCAGTCCGCTCCATCCCGCCGGCGGCAGCAGCGGCGGCGCCAGCGGCAGCGGTGGCAGCGGCCTCAGCGGCAGCGCCGGTGGCAGCGGCAGCGCTACCGCCGGCGGCATGCACCATCGCCAGCAGCACGGCCATCGCGGTCACTCAGCGCACGGCGCCGGCCTGCCAAATAGTCATAGTCAGCCCATTTATGTGCCAGGAAAGTATTCGGTATGTATGCCAACAACAACAACAACAACAACTAACAACAACAACACAGACTGGGCCAAAAGCAAACAAATGCAGCAGCATTGACAACAAATTATTTGCTTAAAATATTTACAGAAAAGGCTCACAACAAAAATAGAAAAACAAAAACAAACATAAATAAATCTATAAACATTTTATTGATGTTGGCGTTGATTTGGCAAATAGTTAAAAAAAAAATAAAAAATAAAAATAAATAAATACGAGCAAAATGAAATTATGTTGCACATAAATTATGCAAACTGAAAGAAAAGAAAAAGAAAAAAATGTTAAATGATTTTTGTAAATATTTGTGAATTTGTGTTGTTTTACGTTTTGCTTTGCCTTTGCCTTTGCCGCATGCTGCACGCGCACACGAATTGAATACTTTTGCATTTGATTAACCAACTCGCTCTCTCTCTCTCTCTCTCTCTCTTTCTCACTTTATGTTCGCCCCTTATAGCCCTCCAGCTGCTTGTCGGACAAGGAGGAGGACGAGATCTACGGCTTTGGCTATGGCGTCTTTGCGCCGCGAGTGGCACGCGGCGGCTTGACACAGCAGCAGCAGCTGTTGCAGCAGCAGACACTGCAAACGCAGCACAGCATACAGCAGCAACAGTTGCAGCAGCAGCAGCAGCAACAGCAACAACTACCAAATGTGCCAGGCCAACAGCCGGCAGGACAGCCCGGCGTTGGACCACAACAGCATCAGACACTCCCGCCAAACGTAGCGCATCTGAACTTTGTGCAGCAAAAGTGAGTACAAATTGGTTGGGAGGGTGAGATAGGGAGGGAGTAAGCTTTCTCCGAGAAGAACAGTTTGGTAATGCATTTTCTCTCTCTCTGTGCTTACAGCTGCCTGAGTCCACGCTCCGCATACTTCTACGAGTTCCCACCGACTGCAGGTGAGTTCGGTTATAGTTACAGTTAGGATTAACAATTTGCAACTCCCCATTCAATTTCTGCTCCTGCACAGAGGGACGCGAGACAAAGAAGCGCACGACTCTGGCGCGGCTGCTGAAAGGCTTGAAAACTGTCAATCGAAGGGATCGCAACAATCAACAAAATGGCGCACAAGCCAGGGTAAGTTGACAATACACACACACACACACACACACGCACACACACACACACACATTTCTATGTATATTCATTTATATGTATAAGCCGTGCTCTGCTATGTAAAACTTGCTCAAGTCGAAGTCATTTTCGTAGCTCGGTTTTATGACCGCAAGCAAATTGTTTGTCCTTTTGCCTTTCATTTAAATCAACTGCGGTAATTCTTTCAATTTATTTGCCCCGAGTTTCTTGCTGGCTCGTTGTAGTCCTTCGTACATTTCATAATAATTCGCTTTGTAACAATTCCTTTGCGCGCCCCCGCCCACTCGGGCCCCACCCACATCGACATCGCTTGTCGTTTTATGACTGCGTCTTGGCTGATGCTGCTGTACTTAATCTTGGCCCTGGGGACATGTAAATTTTTATGCGCGCCGAGAAATCCCGCGCCAGCCGAAAAGGTTAAAAATGTGCCCGCCGATGCGGCTGCTGCTGCTCCTGTTTGACGGCTCCAGCAGCTACAGCTGCTCCCATGGCTCCTGCTGCTACTCCTGCTGCTACTCCTGCTGCTGCTGCTGTTATGCCTGCCGGGTATGTCTACATTGGCACTTCTTTCTTGACTATGGCATAATGTGCTCTGCTCTGCTGTGCTGTGCTGTGCTGGCATGTAGTCGGCTTATCTGCGCGCGTCCTCTCCACAAAGGACATATTCAGGCGCCGAGCGCCTTTGATTAGAGCCCAGCCACCTTAGACACGCGGCTGCCACTATTCGTACAGAAAGGGGAGCCCGACGCCGGCTCGGGCTGGCAATGAAACTGTGGCCAAAGATAACGCAGCCGTAGCAGGACGTCCTCGTCGTCGCTCATAAATAAGCAAGGACATGCATAAATTTTTCAAAAGCAACGAGCGCAGCAGAGAAAAAAAATATATAAATATAAAAAAAAGAGGGAAAGAAAAGAAAAGGAGAAAACGGAATAAATAAAAGAAGCTGCCAGCTGAAAATAAATAATAAAGCGAATGAGTGAAGTGAAGAAGTGAAGAAGTGAACGAGCCCAAATGGCAGCCAAGGGCGGGCAGCGGAGTGCTGCAGCAGATAAGCGCAGGAAATGACTAAGGATATGCGCCTAAGTAGCAGCATCCTTCCACACAAAAAGCTGCCTTTCAAAATATAATTAAACAGCACTCACCTGGCCATGGCCCATGTGTTTTAGCCGGCAAGGCCCCGCCCAGCTGATTTGGTATTTATGATAAGAAAACAAACGCATTAGATGGCCAAGAGCAGAAGGGGGCAGAAGTGGGTGAGCGAATGGACGAGCTGCTGCTGCTGCCTTGAATTGGCCGTGTAGGGGTCACACACACACACACACATACACACACACACACAGGCACACAGATACAAAGCGAGAGGACTCTCAACACTTGGGTCGCGACCCTCGTTGCCCCGACCCGTTATTAATTAAAAATTAAAGCCCGGCTGAAAGGTGTGAAATACAAAATGGCGTCGTTATGGCGATAAAGCACGTGGCGTCCGCACACTGATTTATGAGTCTCTTTGCCCGGGTCATCCCGAGCTGTGGGCCCCGCTCGCTGCCTCCTAGCGAGCCTTGTGCATATTTTAAGGCCAACTGCCTTGAAGTCAGAGTCAATAAGCCGAGAGTGGAAAACTTTCAAACAAAATTGTAAATTGAAAATTATAAATTGAAATTACACAAAAAAAAAGGGAAAAGGTGCTGAAAAATTGAATTTTGTAATTGATATCGATAACCTTTGCGTTTCTTTGCAGGCGGCCAACGATCGCCTGAGGCACTTCCAGATGATAAACGGCGGAGCGGGCGCGCCGCAGCAGAGCTTCGAGGAGACAATCCACCGGGTAAGTTTGGAGTGTGTGGAGCCGGCAACGGCGCGTATACTTGATAAATATGTATGGAGCTGCCGCAGCAGCTGCCATTGCATAAATATTTATGCAGTGCAACGCATTTGGCAGCAGCTGCCACAGCAAACAAAATTACTTCAAAAACTGTTTGCAACAACAGCAGCAGCAGCAGCAGCAGCAGCAACAACAACAATAAGAAAGTTGCAGCACCTACTTATGCCACACCCACAGCCACCCAGTGGCAGTTGCCCACTTGCTGGCATTGCATTTGCAATGTAATTTCAACACGAAAGCTGCAACCGTTGCTGGCGAGCACGTTTACGTTCCCGTTTACCTGCTGCAGCACGGCGCCGCTCGGCAAGTAGATGCATGCAACATTTAAAAGTTCATTGCCGTCAACATTCATTATTAATGACAGCGCGAGCAGCAACCAAAAACAAGCAGCAAAATGCAATCAACGACGACAACAAACAGACAGCAGCAACAGCAACAGCAACAGCAACAGCAACAGTTGCAGCTGCAGCGTGGCAACAGCAACATGACAGTTGCAGCGGCAAGCACTGCATAATGCATGCGGCAACGCCCACCAGCGCCACGCCCAGCCGTGTGCCGTGTGGCACTGCACGCATGTTTTTCGCACCCGCCGGAGCAAACTTTAGGCCAGAGCCCAAAAGTAAACTTGAAAGTTTTGCAATGTTCTCGTTACTGTTGTTGTTGTTGTTGCTATGAAGTTGTCTTTTGAATAAACTGTGGTGCACTTCAGAATAAATAAATATACTGTTATTTCAATAATGTTCTCAACTGTTCTCTTCGCTTTCTTCTTTTTCGTTGCCGAACACCAGCTAAAAGTCCAAGAGGCCATGCGCAAGAAGGAGAAGTTTCAACGTGAGCACGAAGAGGTAAGCGAACTGCCAATGGAAATTGCAAATTTCGAAATTATTCGTTATTCGCAAATTGATGTAAATGAAAATATGTTTGCAGTGCTTATAATACATACGCAGGGCTTCCATGTCGTTTGATTAAAATTGCATGAATCAGGCTGAAATATTGTCAATCAATTTGCTAGCCGAATTCCAATTTGTTGCAATTGCAAACAATAAAATTGCAATTGTAAACCGAAAATAAATCAAGCATAAGCGAGAGGCTACACACACACACACACACACGCACATAAAATCATATATAAATATATAGAGAGAGAGTTTAGGCATTATAAATAAATAAACAAAAACATAAGGCAATCCAGATTGTTGTTGTTGTTGTTGTTGTTGCTGTTTGTGCTTAGGCCTAACAACATTTTGTTTGCCTAAATAAAACATCAGCAGCTGCTGGGAAAATTAAAATCCATATCCATGCCATTTACTCTGCTATTTACCGTCCCACAAAACAGTTTAGTTGCCACGCCCACCCAACGTATCATGCATATTTAAATGCTGGACAATCTCTTAAATTTGTAGTCCCAATTTTGCAAAAGCTAGCAAAACATTCCTTCCGTCTAAAACAAAAAAAAAAAAAGCAATTATTTTGCTGTGCAGCAGGAGAAGAAGGGGCGTGGAGAGGGGGCGGGGCACTTGGCGTTTAGCAAAACAAATGTTGGAAAACATGCAGAGCAGACGCAAATGTTCATTTAGTTGCACACACACACACACACACATGTGTATTCACACTTAAGTACAAGCACACAGAAGACAACAACAACAGCAACAACAACAACAACAACAAAAACAATGAACTGTAACGTGGCAAATGATAAACTTTTTGCCTGTCATAAAAATTATTTTTCCACATTTTCTCAAATTTTACACAGCTCCAAAGGTAGCATACTAATTGTCTGCACGTGTGTGTGTGTGTGTGTCTGTGTGTATGTGGAAGTGTGTAATGCGTGTAATAAATGGGCGTGGCATGACATGCCGAAAGGTGCCGGGCCAAACAATATAAATAAAATATATGAAAAGCTGCTTTGACTTTAGAACAGAAATAATTGGGCGAAAAATGAGCTGTAATTATATCACAGAATAGAATAGACTGAAAGCAAATTAAATAGCATAAATGGACTGAAATGAAATGCGAAAGAATGAAACGGAATATAAGGAAATTAGATATTGAATAGAATAGGCAAATAATGAAGGTATAAAATATAGAAGAATATATATAAAGCAATTAGTTAGATATTGAATAGAATAGGAGAATTAGGAATATAGATGGAATAGATTAGCGATATAGATGGAATAGATAGTATAGAAAGGGAGACAAATGGTATATAGGAATATAAAGAGTAAAAAAGGGATAAGAAAAGTCTAGCTATATTGACAGCTAATCATGACAGAGTGAGAGAGAGAGAGAGAGAGAGAGAGCAATAGAAACTCATAAGAAATGTAATTTCCATAAAAACTCTGCCATTATGACGTATATAAGCAGTGCTACAAATTAGGCAAACTTTTATCAACGGAAATTGTCAAAGCATTTCGAATCACCTGTATCACCTGAAACAGTTCGAATCATTTCACACTGGCTTAGTCGCTCAGATTTGTGCCTGATGAGAACATCTGCTGTCTGCAGTGCCATTATGTGATTTGCCAATCGAAACTCTGCCTCTCTGAAATAGAGCAGCAGGAAACCCAGTTAATTATAGAGAGCTCAGCTATCGGCAGCGACGAGCAGCAGCACATATTCCATTTCGTTCGGCTAAGCTGAAAAAGTCCTTTGAAATGCTGTAGCTCTAGCCATTTGAACTGAAAATGCATAATTCTAGCAGGCTGTGTGTGAGAGAGAGAGAGGGAGAGACAGAGGGGGAGATAGCATGTGGCATGCGTTGCTGCACGACAATTTGTCTGTTTGCATGTCGACGACGTGTCCGCCTAGGCAAAGGCAATAATTTTTGTGCATAAATGAAAAGCACACACACTCGCACACACACACACACAGAGACACTCGCACACACACACATAGCAGAGTGGCTGTAGTTGCTGCTTAACTTGTGCAAACAACTTGCTGTTTGTCTAATTGTAATTGCTGTTTTTGTTGCCAGTGCCTGAGCCTGAGCCTGAGCCTGAGTCTGAGTCTGTGTCTGTGTCCGGGCCTGGTCCTTCATCTCTGCCTCAGCTAGAGCTGCTTATTTTCCATTTCGGCCTTCTCAAGCGCCAAGAGCTCGCACAACAAAAAGAAAGAGGGAGAGAGCGAGAGCGAGCAATGTGAATGAGAAAATAAAAGAAATTGTCCCCTGCTTATGAAATATTTATAATAACACAGCAGAGATAGCCGAACGACTCGACCCCTGACGGCAACTCGGCCAAAAGCAAATGTTTGCTGGCCAATAATTTGTGCCAACAATCGGGCAGTCAATTAAGCACGGCTCTAGACCAATGTGATTAGCCCAAAGCAACATGCACAAGTTCGGCCACATAAATTTGCAAATTGCTGTGGCAGCCGAGCTCTGCAAGGCAATTGTTGCTGTTACGGCTTCTCCTGCTCCTGCTGCTGTTTCTCTTGCTCCTGCTGCTGCTGCTGTTGCTGCCATTTAAATGCATTTTTAATGTAGCTGCCCCGAAAAAGCTTTTAGCTAATTTTTACACTAGTTTCTGATGTTGCGCTGTATCCATTTCTAGCTGCTCTGCTCTGGCCTGGCCCTGGCATCCTTTTCGCACTAACACAAACACACACACACACACACACAGACTCAGACATATCTTGTTTTTAAATTAGTATGCAGCACATATTGCGCTATTATGTTGCAGGACATTCAAGCAGCATCTCAGTTGTGCTCTGTCTCTGTCTCTCTCTCTCTCTCTCTCTCTCTCTCTATCTCTCTCGAAAATTGTTTTAGTTTTCAAATGGAATTTTGTAATTTTAACGCCTCTGCTGCTCTGCAGAGGAAAAGAAGTGACTGAAGTCAGCCAGGCTGACGAATAAGCTGAAACCTCTTCGTCTGCCCCTGCTCCTAGTACGTCTCGCATCTCTTTTACAGTCGCCGAGTCACAGTCACGTGCCGGCATACAGCAGACAGACAGAGCTTCACTCTGAGCATCCACATATATATATAAATTACTTGGCTCATAGAGTGCACTCATTTGTGCCTAAACTGGGCTTAAGCGAAGGCTCTGGAGCATTCAGTCAAATAAGTCGCAAGTCGCTTATGACGAGTAGAGTCTCAGATATTTGAATTTACATTTTATATATACTTAGTTCGTATTAATTATCTATGAATTTGTTTTGCAGATCTTGCGGGACATACGGCAGGGCCTGCTGCAGATGAGTCGGGGCGAGGGACGAGCGGGTAAGTTTTCATCCGGCTGCTGCGAAATAAATATCTCAATTTAGGGCGAGAGGGCAGACGACTTGCACTCGACAATCTTGTTAGATGAGTGGGCGTGGCACCGTCTGGCGAGCGTCACATGCATAAGCGAGCATAAAATCTTATGTCCGTTTCCGGCACCAACAACAACTCGCAACTGCGCAACTTGCAACTGTGCAACTTTCTGTGTGCAGCACATGTGGAAAATGGCATTCAAGTGTGTGCGAGTATGTGTGCGTGTGTGCGTGTGTGCGTGTGTGTGCAACGTTGCGTATAATATGATATCATGTAGCCGTTGCACATCATTTCGGCCTGGCAAAAGTTTCGAGCACCGCCTCCAAAGGCCATTTATATGTCCCAGACTGTGCCTCTGCCTCTGCCTTGCCCTCTCTCTCTCCCTCTCCCTCTCCCTTTCTCTATCTTGATGGCACTCTAACACCTCGCAGTCTATCCCTTTGCAGATGATACGTACATGTACGACGAGGCGCTGCGCAACGGCCCCGGCGCCGTTGGCCAGGGTGGTGCGCATTATGCGGTCAGTGCGCTGCACCACCAAGGTCATTGGTACGACGAGCCGCCCTACGAGAGCGATCCCGATGATTTTCTTATGGCCGGACTTAATTGTGGACCAGCTGCTACCATACAGGTAAGACTATCTATCAGTGTGTGTGTGTGTGTGTGTGTGCAGCTGCTTGAGCTGTGATTTATGAGCGCGGTTTACCAAACACTTGCGCGCCCACTTAAAGCAGAGCGCACAGTGCGGCTCAGCTAAGCGCATTGGCTGGGATAACTCCGAGCAATTCTCCGGCTTCAACAATGTCGCCGGAGCAGTGCAATCGGTTTTTCAGCTTTCGATTTATGCAGCACATTCGTCTTTGCCGTTAATCCTGGCTGAGATCCGCAGCGCACGCCTCGTTGGCTGCTTTGATTTCTCAGCGGATGCCAAGCACTTCCGTGTGCCCTCGCTGCCTCCCTCCCTCTCCCCCTCTCTCACTCTCTCACTCTCTTTCTCTTTTATCCTTTCTTCTTTTTATTTGCTTTATTAAATTATACGCTGAATATATTTTGCCTGCGCATTGATTTCCAACTTCGATTTGTATGTCCTTTGGCATTTTTGCTGCCACTCGAAGGCAGCGCCAGTGCAAGTTGAGCTTCAACTTACTTTATTTTTTATTGACAGTCAAAAAGTGCATAATTCTTGTTGACTTGTTCAACCCGGCGACGACGTCTTGAGACTTTTCCTCGGGCTTTGCATAAAATTTACTTTTTACCCACTACTTTTTTTTCTTCTCCTTCTCCTTCTTCTTCTTCTTCTTCTTCTATTTGCCTTGTGTTATGCACAGTGGTAGTTGCGCTTTTATGGCTGCGCCTAAGAGAGGGGGCGATGGGCGAGGGGGAGTGGGTTCGCTTTTGGGGCACAAATTTTGTTTTCTTAGTCAATTGAAAATCACTCAGCGGCGAGGAGGTTCTCGATATGCTTGAGCCGCCGCCCTTTGTGCCCTTTCAATTTCAGTTTTCGCTTTGATGTGGCAATACGTAAAGCGGCTACAATAACAACAACAACAAAAGCAACAACAACAGCAACAACAACATCAGCGAGCCACAAAATTTGTTTAGTAAAAAAGTTTTTTTGCGGTTTGCGCAGCACTTTAGACGAGCCTCTGCAGAAATGTGAAATGTGAAGCGCACAATTGTCCCTATCCGTTGCTGTTGTTGTTGTTGTTGTTGTATTTGGGCAGCGAACCGCAACTTTGGCCAATGCTAATGGATACTCCAAAAAAATAAAAGGAGAATAACTGCGCAAAAAAAATGGTCAATACAGGGCATTAGCATTCGAGCATACGCTTTGACCCTCTGCCCCACCCACCACACCAAGGCCGACTATGCCAAAAAGTATGCAACAAATTCATTATCTATGCCCCGCGCCAATGCCAGCTTGCAACTTTGCTGTTTGATGAGCTGCTGCCTTCATGAAGTATGCAGCAACAGCAAATCTACATGCTACAAAACTTTGCAATTTACATGTCCGAACTGAAAGTTGCTGTAATTGAGAAGAGCGTGCCTCTCTCCCCCCCTCTGTGTGTGTGTGGGTGTGTGTGTGTGTGTGTTGGTTTTTGCCCCAAATGTAAAGCAACAACTTTGCAATTTCCGCTGCGTTCGAATAAACTAAATTTAAAATTCCAAGCTGAATAAAAAGCAAACAGCAACAACTACAGCAAATCACAGCTAAAGCAACAATAGCAACAACAACAACAGCAACAGCCACTGGAGCAACAGCCACAAGGGCCCAAAGTAAACTCTACTTTAGGAGCACGCAACACGCGGCGCATAAACTTTTATAACTTTGTTAATTTTTCATAATTTGTTGTTGTCGTTGTTGTTGTTGTTGCTGTTGTTGTTGCTGCTGTTGCTGCTGTTGTTGCTGCTGCGGCGGCTGTTGCTGCAACAAATTCTACTGGAACGCTAATCCAAATGTTTTGCTTACCTTAACCATAACTCTATCTCTCTCTCTCTCTCTCACTCGCTCTCTTACAACTCTCTTTCTTTCTTTTCGTTTTTAGGGTGGCCGTGTGCGCTTCTCAAACAACCGCGAGAGCACGGGCGTAATTTCATTAAGATCCGCCGGAGATATTTCGCTGCCGCAGCGCGGACCGCCGCGTCGAGGGCTTATCGTGCCACAGCAGCCGCCAAATCCGCCGACAATAATACCGTTAACGCATGCCAGGTGAGTGTCCAAAGTGGGTAGATTGTGGGGAAGGGAAGGGGGTAGGGTAGGTGAGGGCAGCACTCGCTCATTGGCCAATTGCCATTATTATTTGTGGAGCCAAGGGCAAAGCATTAATAATGCAGAAGGCCGCAACAACGAAGAAAATAAATATATATATAGAAAATACAAATATATATATATATATATTTATATATATATTTATCTGTTTAGTATATAAGTATGTGAAGATGAATGGCGGGACATTTATCTGTTAATATATATCTGGCAATTGCTGGGTGGTCCGCCGGCAACCCTTTGACCACTTCAAAGCACCACCTCTCAGGGGGGAGGCGGGTCAAACCCACTCAAGTACAAAATGTGCCACAAATGTGTGCACTGTGGCATGAAAAGGCCAAGCATTTAGCCTGGCAAACAACCCAACACTAATAGCTGACCAAACCTAACCTAACCGAACCGAACCGAACCGAACTGAACTGAACTGAACCGAGCCCCAGACCGATCCAAGCCAAAATCGAATCGAAACGAATGGAATCGCAGCAAAGCAAAGCAAAGCAATCAAGCAGCTCAATTGACGCACCATTCCAGCCAAGCCCAAAGCCACACCCCCATCCACCGTCGCCTCGCCCCACACAGAATGCTTGAATTTATTTGTCAATGCGAAAAGGTGCGCAAAAGGATTGACCCGGCCAACACACACACACACACACACACACACACACAAAAATAAGAAGTGAAAAGGTAGCCTCACTTCATTAGTGCCGTTATCAACATTTTGCAGCCACATGAATGAATGAGCCAAAGGACGAACTAGTGAATGAATGACAAACTGACTCTTTGAATGTCCTGTCTGTCTGTGTGTCTGTCTCTCTCGCTCTCTCTCTCTCGCTCTGTCGCTGTCCGGCCTGGCTGACTGACTGACTGCTTGCAACATATCGTAACGCATTGAAGCGAAAGTCATCAATTTCATATTGTTACGCATGCCACAAAGAATAAAACATGGACTCTGCCAGGTCAAAGAAAGGTTGGTGCGAGGGCTGCTTGGTGGGTTGTTTGTGTGCTGGTTGCTGTGTGGGTTGGGCTTGGCTGGCTTGTCAGTCAGAGCTGGGCCAAAACTAATAAGAAGACAGGCACACCGACGTCTGCAATATTGGCCAGCAGTGCAGAGACAGCGACGACACTTGAATGAAATGGCATTATTGCTACTTCAACGCGGCTGCAGGAGGCAGGAGGCAGCGCGCCGCACGGCTCGTCAATCAGCCGGGACCAGTCCGGGGCAGGCCAGAGTCAGCGTATCGACACTCGACAGTCGGCAGTCGGTCGACAGTTGCCCGGCTGCGAATTGGCAGCGCTGAACCGTTTTCCACACGTACGCATCGGGCAACTATACAAAAGACGTGCTGAAATAACTTATACGCCCTGTGCGCCCTCAGGGCCAAAACAAAAAACTTTCGTTGCCAAATAAAAGAAAACCGAAAACAGAAAACAACAGGAATAAAATAAATGAAAATGAAAATGGAAATGGAAAAAACGAACGAAAAGCAGCCAAAAGTGAAAATCTCAACAGTGTTAAAGTCAAATGCCCAGGCACAACAACAACAAATAAGGCAAAGCTACAAAAAAAAAGAAGAGAAAAAACACAAGCGAAACAGAAGTTGAAGAAAAAGGTATAAAATATTTATTTATATGAGCTTCTGCTTGCCCGTGGACCCAAGACCTTTGTGCCAAGTGTTATTATTGCTGTTGTTGTTGCTGTTGTTGTTGTTTGTGTTGCTGTTTGTGTTGCCCTTGTGTATACATATTTGCTTAGCAGCAACAAATTCTGGTTTGAAATCAAAACGGTTACCGAACAGCTCCTCAAGTGTAAGCTAGATTACAGGACTCGAGCATACCCCTACAGTGTTTTTCTTTGCCTCTCTCTCACCCCCTCTCTCTCTCTCTCTGTCTTGTATCCTTGCTGGCCATTCAAGGTGAAGATGAGCAAATATTTGGTATATAATTTAAATAGTTTGCTTAGATAAGAACAAGCTGACAGCTGCTGCAAGTCAAGCAGGGAGTTTGCATAGCTCAACTGGAGAGAGAGAGAGAGAGAGTGAGATAGAGAGAGAGATAGAGACAGAGAGCGTTGGATACATGGAGGTGCATATAAATTGTATCTTCAGTTAGGTAAAAGAAACTTGCAGAGCTTGGCAGATGAAAACTAAAGAAAAGTCTCCATTAATATGTAATGTTTTATATATGGAAAGTATTCTCTTCTGCAAAGTCCTAAATCTGAATGAAAATATATCTACTATAAATATATTATAAATCTAACTCAGCAGCTAACGAGACCAAATCTTTCTCTTGCTAGCTAATATGTTTTATATGTTTTTTGGGCAACTCTTACCCAAGTTAAAGCCAAGTTTGCATTAGCTCTAATTGACTAGCAACACAGCTAAAGCTCTATTGAGCATAGCTATGCTGCACTAACAACTTGCTCAGATTATGGCCAAGTTTTTAGCCATAAAGCGTGCCTAACTATTATTAGCCTTAACTGCCTTTTTTACTTAAAATTTCACCTGTTTTCTTACCTTTACAGATCGCATGATCGTGAGAGCGGCGACTATGCTGGCTCCATTTCGGATTTACAAAGCGTTACCTCCAGACTGAGCACAGTTTCGGTGAGTAAGCCAAAAAGCCATTAGACGCAGCAGCTCATTTAGCTCGCAGACACACAGACGCACATCTCTCTCTGTGTGTGTGTGTGTGCGTGTGTTTGCGTCTCAATGCGTCGTCTAAATTGATTAAGTGCACTTAGTGACAAACAAAGTTCGCAACGACCTGAACGGCCAGGAAGAATAACAAAATGCACGTAGTCTGTGTGCGAGCATAAAAACGGAAAAAGCTTTTTGGCCAAAAGAGAGAAAAGTTTTCTTTTCCGCCAGCAGGCAGCCACTTAAGCCAGCTAAACGATGTCCATGTCCATGTCGATGCTGGGACTGTGCCTGTTGGCCATTTCATTTGCAAAGTCGACTTGACTCGACTGCAGCTTTTTGGTTAATACGAAACGCGTTTAACTTTCCACTTCTTCCACATCTACTTCTTCTTCCTCTTCTTCTTTCCGCTGCCTTTGTGGCTCCATTGCAACAGATTGGCACCAACAATTGCACCGCCAGATACCGGACGCTGAGTGGAGGCATCGGCGAGTCGCCGTCGCTGTCCCCGAGCCCCTCCTCCGACTACGAGGACATCGGCGCCACAAGGCACGGACTGCCGCCCAGTTTTGCAGCGAAGGCCAAAAAGAACGGACTGCCGCACAAGGCGAATACGATTTGCCAGAAGGCCATGGTGCATCACGTAAGTTAATTAATCAGTATTGCATGTGTGTATGTCTGCATGAGTGTGTGTGTGTGTGTGTGTGTGTGATTGCAATTGCATTTGGATTACATGAACAGCAACAACAACAACAGCTTCAAGCATATTGACTCGTGAGCTGCAAAATGTAATTAGCTTGCCCATTTACATATGCGCCTGATTGGAATTTGTGAGCGACTCTCTCTAAGCCACTTGCAATTTGTCTACGGCCTAGGCGGAAAACGCTGACCGAACAGGGCTCAAACAACATGGCCGAAAGGCGTCCAGCAGGCGGCAGGAGGCGGAAGAGCGTGAACATGCACTCTAAATGCAAATGCCAGTTAAATGAGTTTTTATACGCGCCCAACAGCCGAGAGGAACTCCTGCTCTGGTTGGCTCTAAAAAAAGAAAAATAGGAAAAAGAGAAAAAAAAGTGAAAGCTCATTTTCAGTTTTGGCCATGATTACATTGCGCTGCAGTTGGCAGAGCTTGGACTCGCATATCGTAATAAAAATGAGAGAATCTGAAATTCTCATTCTCTTCATAATTTTTTAAAATATTTGTAAATATTTTTGCAAATATTTGTAGAGATCAAGTTTTTGTTTATATTTGATTTACATTGGATTTACATTTGGGTCTCTATGGATTGCTTTCGTACTTCCCGAATCTGTTCTGTTTGTTGGGCGGTCGGCGATTCTTTGCCTTGGGCTCATCGGGCCGGATGTGAAAGTTCTTGAAGCCGTACTCTCGCTTCTCCTGATCCTCAGAGAACTCGGCCTTCACAATGTTGCTGGCGGGACTGCCGGTGGTGCGGAGCCACTCCTTCATCAGGTTGAGCTCGGTGCGCGGTCCCTCGATGTAGCCCTTGACCGTGCCGTCCGCCGTATTCATGCACCAGCCGCGCAGCCCCAGCGTCTTGGCCTTCATCTCGGCATGTCGACGGAAATAGACGCCTTGCACTTTGCCAAACACTTCAAACTCACACGAATGGACGGTGGCCATTTGAATACCAGAGGGAATCCCTTATGGCACCCTCAATGACAATCATAAAAAAAAAAAAAAAAAAAAAAAACAAGTATTAAAAAGAAACAAAACAAACTACAAATATTTAGACAATTTTTAAATACATCTTTCTGTGGAAATAACTAGAACTTGCTAGAAATTGCAAGGCTGGCTAAGCAAAGAAAAATAATAATACAGGGTATTTAATGGTCGCAGTTAGGTCTACAAACCTCTTCACGTTACTTTGAAAAAAAAAGGGGAAACAAATGTTAGTTTGCAAATCGCGAGCAGCAGCTGCAATCGGTGCCTAGGCCTCTTCACTGGGCGAGATATGAGCAAAGTTTTGTGGCAGGCAGCGGCTCAATATTCACTGTCAAGGAAGAAGAAGACCAATGCCAAAGCTGAAGCCAATGCCGAAGCTAAAGCCAATACCGAAGCTAAAGCCCAAGCGGAAGCACTGCAGCCAAATTCAAGACCCCCCCCCAAAAAAAAAGGACAGCCCAAAGGCAGTGTCTGCAGCTGTATCTATGTGTATGTGTGTGTGTGTGTGTGTGGAAATTTGTGTGGTAGCATTAAACTTTTTAATGATTTAACTAACAAAACTTTTGCTCTATTCCATGCGCCCTCCGCCTGCCGCCCCCGCCCGGCTTAACATGCAATTTATTGCACAACTCGATGACGACGACGACGACGACGATGGCGGCGACGAAACAACTTTCACTCTGGCTGCACAGTCGGGCGAAATGCGTAGCTCGCCAAAGGAAATTGGCGCATTTAATGAGAATGGACGAAACTTTGTTGCCACAAAGGATACATCAAGGGATTTCAGCAATTCCCAAGATAATACCGACCGTGGCAGCATGAGCGATCAGGCGTTTGCATGTTCCGCCAGCTCCGTTGAAAGTTTGCCCAGTGCATCCGGTTCGAGTGAGTACAAAACTCTATCTATGTGTTTAGAAATCTACTTGTGTGTGTGTGCGTGTGTGTGTGCTTACAATTTAGATTTTTGATTTTGCCTTTGCATTTGGTTTTCCTTTTGCTGTGGCCTTTCGGAGCGTTTGCCTCGCCCCGGCTTGTTTATAAAAATTCCCAGACTGCCGCCCAGCGCCACGCCCAGCTGGGCTCGTGTTGCATATTGGTCTATTAACAGTTGTAGTTGTTGCTGCGGTTGTTTTGCAACCGCTGCACAATAACTTGAAATTCTGCAAACTTAATGAATTTTTAATGCACTTGCGCACAGTCAAGTGGCAAGTGGCAAGTGGCGAGTGGCGAGTGGCAACTGGCAATGTGGCAAGTGCATTGGCCAGGCCATGCAGCCCGATGCAATGTCTAGGGCGTGGTTAAATAAAGGGCTGCTGCTGCCTCTGCTGCTGTTGCTCAGTTTTTAATGAACAAAAGTTTTCGCTATATGCGCAAATTTCTACTCTAAATAAAGAAGAAGAAGAAGAAAAAAACAAAACCAAAACAAAACAAAATGCCAGAGCAGCTGTACCAGGAGCAGAGCAGCAGCAGCAGCAGCAGGAGGCGGCGGCCGACGGGGCTTGCAGGAGCAACTTTGAAAAGTGCAAGAAAAAATACTTTATTTTCATGTGGCCAGGACACAAAGCAAGGATTAGCCAAAGCTTTGGCCAAAAACTTCAAGTGCTTATTTGAATATTTTTTGGGCGAAACGAGCTTTGTGTCTGCGACCCTCTCTCTATCTCCCTCTCACTCACACACACACAGAGAAAGTGTGTAAAAATATTTGAAAAGTTTTTAATTAACCAAACGAACTGTTTGTGTGCGTGCGTGTGTGTATGTCTGTGTGTGTGTGTGTGTGTGTGTGTGTGTGTGTGTTTGTATTTCGTGCTCTGCCAAATTTTTCAGCCCTTGGCTAATTGGCTGTGGGCGCATTAATTGGAAAATTTTCTGGGCAAACTTCCATCGAAATGTTGTCGAGACAAATATTTAAACGTAAAACCATTCTATTTTGGCAGGCACTCAAGCTCTAGTGCGTCCCGGCAGCCCACACAGCTCCATTTCAGCCGAGGATCGCGCCTCCCTGGCGCCCATTTGCAAGGCCAAGGCACTTGTCGACAGTCTGCCCAATCCCTACGACAAGGAGGCACTCAAATTCAAGGTAAGCAGACGCCCCACTCTCTCTCTCTCTCTCTCGCTCTCTCTCTTCTTCTCTCTTATATATAACATGCTGGTTGCTTTTGCAGAAGGGCGACCTGATCGATGTGCTGTCCATGAATGCGTCGGGCATTTGGAAGGGTCGCTGCCATGGCCGCGTGGGCCACTTCAAGTTCATCAACGTGGAGGTGCTGCCCGAGCAGCGCATGAAGAACTCGAGCAGCAAGACCCTGGCGCCCGCCTCTCGACTGGCCAACAGCAACAACGGCAGCGGCAACGCGGGGCCCAGCTCCGTGGACGATCTGCTGATACGCATCGGGCTCAAGGAGTACACCTCCGTCTTTGTGCTCAACGGGTAAGTGGTGTAGATGAAACAAATTTCACAACAATTTTTTGTTGGATTGTTTCACCTATCGTTCCATTTGCAGGTACGAGGATTTGGAGCTGTTCAAGGAACTCGAGCCGGCTGATCTGGACTATCTGGGCATACTCAACCAGGAGCATCGCGCCAAGCTGCTGACGGCCGTGCAGCTGTTGCACGACATTGAATGTGAGTATTAGTGTCCTGCTCTTGCCTCGCCCCATGCCTAAAGCAAATTATGTGAATCACAATGCGACCCACACCCACACCCACACCCACAACCACGCCCACTCTCTCACACACACACGTACTCACACACAGCTACAAATTTCGCACGCACAGGCTCCGACATGGACATAGCCGGCTCCAGCTCGGAGAACGACGAAGCGCGCCTGAACAACATCAACAAGAAGCACGGCGCCTCGCCCTTTGGCCGACGACACTTTCCACGGGACTCCGGCTGCTACGAGGGCTCGCCGCTGCCCAGCTCCCAGACGCCCACGCAGACGGTGAACTCGACGGACGACTCGAACAGCCTCGACGATGTGGTCTCCAAGTGCTCCAGCGAGATAATGAAGCGCGTGGAGAGCGCACGGCGCTGCAAGGAGAACCCGTTCAAGGCGACGCTGCCGGCGCGAGTCGGCAAGAAGTCCTTTCTTGGCGGCGGCAGTCTTATGGGCGACGATACGCTCACGCGTGGCGGCCTCAGCGAGAAGTCGAGCGACTCGGGCGTCAGTAGCAGTTCGCTATCATCGGGTCCGCTGAAGAGCAGCACTTAACATTTGCCAACCATACTCGCCCACGAGCTGCTGCTGGGCGTGGGCCAGGCGGGCGGCGGCAGCAGCGTGGGCGCCACCTCGCCCACCACCTCGGTCGCCTCGGCTGGCATGCTGGGCTGTCCCAGCAGTGGCAGTGGCAATGCCAGCCTGAATGCCACGGCGCCACTTGGCAACATCTGCAACACTCTGCCGCATGCCCCGTCCGGTGGCAGCAGCACGATGGGCCTCTCTAGCAATCTGCCGCTGAACCGCAATCTGGTGATGTTGCGCAATCATTTGCGCAAAAATACGAGTGGAAATGCATCAGCCGCACTGCAGGACGACAAGGATCAATAACAACCCATTTATTACATACAGATTTTAGTTTAGATTCTCGATACTTCAGTTAGATATATGTATGTATTTCAATTGCTGTGATTCGATAGTGAAAAAAGGCCAAGACGCGTCTTTCAGTTCAAATGTATAGTGTATAGAGACAGATAGATAGCAACAGAGCGAGAGAGCAAGAGAGAGAGAGAGATAGTGAGATATAGAGAGAGCGAGAGAGTGAGCACATTAAGCAAAGTCAGTTAGTCAGTCAATCCTTCCTCCGATAATGTTGGCATTTATATATATACTCTTATATATATATATTTACATATATATATATGTGAAAAGACAGAGCTATATACTTAGTAATTGTAATGTAATCAAATCGTTTAACTATTTTTAGTTAGCCTGATGTAAACAACAGAAACAAAAACAAGAAATGATTAACGAAACATTTTCTCATTTGCCATTTTTTGCCAATTGCTTTCTATGTATATTTCGCAACGTGATATTGTCAAACGTCCAACTTGAATTGCAGTTTTTAATCGATGAAACCACATTTTAATTAACACGAGGGAACGGGCCGAAGATATCTATCTATAAATAACTCAAGTTGATTCCTATATTATGGCACAAAGGCTGCCGGCAATAGACCAATTACATTTTAAAGCCCAAATATTTACACGAAGCAAACGAATTTGCCAATATTTATAATTCTATAAAGAGAAACTCAATTGAATTAAGTATCACACACACACACACACAGACACACTCACATCATGATGTATCCGTCAAAGTTGTATATTTGAAAATTCAGCTAAGGGAAAATTGTATGCTAAGCAATATAAATTGGTAAAACGTAGACTCCAGACAAGCGAGCTGTATATAGTAAGGGTATTCTTGTCACTGGAGTGTTCATGAATGCCATTTAACAGTTAAATGCAAATATGTACTAATAATAAGATACACACTTATATACATATTTATATATATATATAAACTATTAGCAATTGCCAGCTATTTAGCGATAATCAAAAGGAAAAGGACAATGAAACGAATTGGATGGCAGATTTTATTGATTTCACATTAAACAATTAGTTAAATAAATCAATACAAATATTTCAAAGCGAGCACAAAAAGAGAATATATATATATATACATACATATATATTTAAACTATATCATAGCGCATATGAATATCGAATACCAATCGACTTTATGTACATTTGACACAGAAACGAAAAACCAATTCCGCTTTTAATCATAATTAAGCAAAATTATATATATATATATATAAATATATAAATATTCATAAAATTAACAACTAAAATTAAATAATCCCAAAAACTTAAATAAAATTTTATAATTAGTCCAAACAAAAAGAAAAAATAAAAAGATTATTAATTGCGCACGTGTTATAGCCAGAGAGTAAAAATATTCTTATGTAGGCATTTTGAATTTTTTTATTTATCTAAAAACATAAATTTAAGTGTTTCAACTGTAAATTATATTAGAGAGAAAGCAAAACAAATGCAGAATGCACAAGAGCCACATGCAGCATGTGCAAAAAGTTTCCATTTATCACTGTAAAATTATGTAATTAAATTCGAATATGTAAGCAATATTAAAGTTTAAAGTAACAAAAAAAAAAAAGTGAGCAAAAAAACGAAAACTCAAGGCATCACAACGCAGTTTCAGGCAAGCTAACAAGTAAATAAATAAAAATAAATAAGAAATGAAAAGAAACAAACTAAAAACAATCTTAGAATTCATTAGCACACACAAAAGAACTTTAACTCTCCAGAGCTCCCTACATTTTAGAAGAAATTTCAAGCAAAACTCAAGTAAAGTAAAAAAAAAAAAAAAAACTCAAATAAAATGAAACAAAAGAATGAAACGAAAAGAGAGCGAGCAGCACGCAGCTAGCTGAGCGATGAAAGTTTATGCATAAATCAAATAAAAGTCTTAAATAAAATTGAACATATCTAAAAAGTAACTAAACGTCTTATTTATTTAACTGGGTCGAGCCGAGCAAACAGGTAAGAGAAATGCCTTCTCCGAGAGTCAAGGCTGAGCAGGCATCTGCCTGATTGAGACTGATTAGCAGCAGCAGTCTATATAGCTATTTATCTAAATATAGCCCACTCTAAATTATATTGACTACTTAAGCACGGCTATCAAGCAGTCAATCAACAGCGCTTGAAGGCAACTTTATTGAACTATTCATGTTGTGCCCTACAAGAATTACATATATCATATAAAGAATTATTTAATATGTTTATATTCTATTGTCTTTTATTCCACATACATTTGATTAGTTTTGCTTGAGCTCAAGCTTTATAGTTAATAGGCAAATTGGTGCTATGTATTTATTTGAATGGATTCAGCTGCAGCCTTGATCAAAAGAAACCGCCTAAATGACTTTATTCGCTCACACATTTACCTACAAGTGTTGGATTTCAATGACATTGAGTGAGCGCTTCAGTTCGCATTAACGATGATTACGCTGCTTCAGCTACACGTGAGCAAAATATAAATTAATGTACATGCACACATATATGCACATGTATATATTATCATATATGTATGTATGCATAGGCATATATATGATCGGGTAATCTTATCATTTAAGGTGTCGCGCCTACCCGAAATGAGTGTGTAAACAATTCATAAAGCTCTAGTAACCGGCCTGGCAGCTGATCCGCTCGCCGGGGAGAGAGGGAGGTGGGGAGGTAGATGGCAGAGGCTGGGTGGTTGAACGGCTAAGCGGTTGGATGGCTGTTGACGTTACGGCCCCTGTTGTCGATGAGGCGAAGCGGCGTCAGTCGTAATCTGCGCTGATGCTGATTAAATTTACTATACTTGTGGAATGGATCTATCTCTAACCTACACACACACACACACACATACTTGCACATGCATAATGCATTCTGATGATTATTCATAGAGCACTTGTAGCCGATCTGAGAACGCGAACTAACGAACTTTATGCTGGAATTTGGCATGTACATATGTATTTACACGATTTTTTGCGTTTGTTTTTTATCATTTTCTGTCCACATAGTTTTTGATGCCGCCTGCTCGGGCGGGAAGTAAAATTGCGCTTAAGTGGTTTAGTAGATTGTTAAATTGCTTTTGTCTTTCTGCCAGCGGATAAGTAAATGAAAATATGAAAATTGATATTATTGCATTGCACAAACTATGTAGACTCTATCTCATTTTCTGCCACATTTTGCGCTCAGTCTCAGTTTCAGTCCCAGTGGCAGTGTGTTCCGAGCTGGAGCCATCGCAGAATCAAAGCGCATAAATAATAAATTCTATAATCCAATAAAGAAATACCAGAGATAACCAGACTATATACATATATATAAATATAAATAAGCAAATACTTACTTACTTATAGTTCAGAGGGTAAAAATACTGTAAAAGGGAAAAAAGTAAAAGTGAAGTGGAAATTTTCTAAATACTTTTATCCAACAAATTGACAACAGGATTTAAGACATTTGTTTAGCAATGTCAACTTAACAGGCTTAAATGGCGGCTTATCCGGATAACGGCATCGCTTTAGGCACACGCAACTATAGGCTATCTAATCGGGCCCGAACTCTAGATTTTCTATGCAGTTGCTTGCAGAACTTGACATCCGATTTAAACCCTTTGCTTATAACTTTAAAAGCAAATCCTAGCCCTGAACAATGCTCATAATTCCCATAAAAGATATGAAAAAAAAAATAAATAAATAAATTTACTTATAACTTGACTAAATAATACCATCATCAACTATTAAAATACCCACAAATATAAACAAGAAAGTGACTTATATAATTTTTTAAAAGATATCAATTTAATACTCTGACAATTGAAACAAGTGCAAATCACAGGATGAGTTGGATTCTTGATATATTTCCCGATGATAAGAAAAGAAAACACTGTGCCCAGTAAATCAAGTCTTCGTCATTCTATTAAAGCTATCAGTGTTTCTTGTCTAATACAAAACCTTTCGAGTCGAAAATGTAGTGCGCTCTGCGTCGTAGTTAGCATGTGACTTGCAACCTGCAGCTGCTTGGAGAATGCATCTGAGACAATGAACCATTGAGTCTTGCTAATTTTTTGACAAACGCTTGGTTTACTTTGTGCTAATAGTTTTACGTGCACATATAAATAACGTTGTAAAATAAAGACCCACGCTTATCAGCAATTATTCTATAATGCTTTTGCGCTCTGTCTCCGCTGATAAGCCGCCTCCTACGGAGGGCCCCTTTTAACGCCGGCGGTCGCCTGGGCCATCACTCACAGCGACACCCGCGAGTGTTCCGGACGGTGCATGCGTTGCTCTAGACCCCGGCGCGATCTTAACCTATCAAATCATTTGCATGCGAGATGTGAAAAGTATAAACGGAGAATATCCCACCACGAGAGTTGCTATCGAGCTAATGGCCAAGCCGAGTTCTAAGCCATAAACACATATTTCAGTTCGATTTTCAACTGCAATAGGACAGCAGCTGCAACGGATCTTATCGCAACAAGTTCTAACAATTTTCTTTTAGTGTACGCGCCTATAAAGTCAATTGCTGTTCAAGAGTGTGTAAACAAACCCCATCGATTGTGAAATCTTACCATTAATTGCCTTTCAAACTACAAGACGCAATTACTCGGAGCTGTAAGTAATAAATCATATATTAAATAAATAGATGAAGAAACTTTGTATAAAGCTTTCCAATGAAATTCAACAACAATTTAATAAAGATTTGTGAAAAGTGAAAATAAAATATATATAATTATAGGTAAATTTCTGAAGTGAATTTCAGCATAAAACTATAACAAATATAAAAAAAAAATTATAACATTATTAATTTAAAATGAAAAAGAAATTGTGAAAAAGTGTTTAATTTTAGATACATTTCTCAAATGAACTTCAACAGCAAATTGTGAAATTCTTTGCGATAAAATATTCACGAATTTCTTTTCTGCATTATTTTAAACTAGTTTGCCATAAAAAATAGTTGTACCATTTATGGCAGCTAGTTTATAGCTCAATTAAACAACTGTGTTGACAATCAGCCAACTGAAAAAGTTCCCATAAAACATTCACAATCCACAATTGCTGCGCAGTTGTTGCCCCCCAACTAGATTGGATGAAATGTCCGTAAACATATGCAAACGCTTCTGAGCATCGACACATGCTTGGGCATGAAAAGCTGAGAAGTAGGGTTTATTTACACACGTTATTTGGCGTCTCATAAAGATAAGAGCGAAACTAATCTGCAAATGATTTACTTGAATACCCAGAATAGTCTGACAGCACTCAAATAGAAACAGACAATGAAAGATAAACTGGAGGAGGTGATAGCCAACAGTAGAAAGCTATCTACGGCAGCCAACAGCGTCAGTGAAATGGAACTGGATGAGTCCGAGCTGAACGATCCGTTCCAGGCGCTCATGGAGAAGGCGGGCAACCACGGCCGCTACCAGACACTCTACAACTATGTGTTCGTCGCCGGGCTGGCGTTCGCCGGCGCCATGGTCTACATGAACATCATCCTGGCGCTCAATATACCGGATCACTGGTGCACGGTGCCGGGCAGGGAGCAGACCAATCTCACAATGAATCAGTGGCTCGATTTGACGCTGCCCAAGTGAGTTGGCTGCCAAATGCGGTGCACTGGCTCAAATCCCCAGCTAAGCTATTCCATTTCGCCCGCAGGCAGACTGACAATCGGGGCAAGGAGACGCACAGCAACTGCGAAATGTACGATGCAAACTTTACAGAGTTAACTGATTTTTCGGCCTGGCGCAGCAGCCGCAGCAAGAATCAGACGACAGGTGAGCTAAACACACACACGCACACATAGCCATTAATATTGAGTGTATATACTGCCTGGCTTTGCTTGGCCATTTGAGCGCATGGAAAAACTTGGCCAGCAGTAGCTTGGCTGTCTTATAAATTTATACAACTTTGCACTCGAATACATTTAATTGGACGGCCTCTTCGATTTGCCAGCTTGCCAGCACGGTTGGACCTACGACCAGACGTGGTATGACAGCACAATACCCACGGACCAGGACTGGGTCTGCGCCAAGGATTTGTTCGTGACAAATGTGTTCGTCGTCGGCCGCGTGACCGAGGTGGTCGGCTCATTTATATTTGGCCAAATGGGCGATTCGTAAGTTGGCCGAAACTAAATTATGTGCCTGCCCGCAATTGGCAATTGGCAATTGGTAATTGAATTTCGGCTTCTCCTATTGGTCGCAGCTTCGGACGCAGCGTGGTCTACTACATTAGCGTCATCTTCTGCTCGGTGGGGCGCCTGGGGTCTGTGCTGTGCACGTCCTCCTACACGTGGTTCCTCATCATGTCCGGCATTGTGGGCCTCACCGTAAACAGTCTCTTCCAATCGCCGCAAATCATTGGCATGGAAATCTCCCGAGAGTAAGTTTGACAGATATTGAATAAGGCAGCTGAAAAAGTTTGCCGAAACTAACTAGAACTTTGTCAATGTCGCACTGGCCAGGGAGGATCGCAGTCGCATCGCCCTCTTCCAGAGCGTGGGCTGGTCCGTGGGCACGACGCTGATGCCGCTTCTGTTCTGGTGGCTGCGCCACTGGGAATCCTTTATGTGGCTGACTTCGCTGCCCACGGCGATGGTCTTGCT